GGCCGGGGGGGAGGCCGGGCCTCGCGTCCGGCCGGGACCCCCTGCAGCCTCGCCCGCCCGCGTCCCTCCCGCAGAGCTGGGGAACCTGGCAGGCGTCCGGCACATCATCCTGGTCCTCTCCGGAAAAGGGGGCGTCGGGAAAAGCACCATCGCCACCGAGCTGGCCCTGGCGCTACGCCACAGGGGCAAGAAGGTGAGGCCTGTGCCCGGGCGGGGCTCAGCCCAGGGTCGAGCCAAGCGATGGCCGCCGGGTCCCCCCCACCCCACGCGAGGGCCGCTGAGCCTCACCCGCTTGGCAGGTGGGGATCCTCGACGTGGATCTGTGCGGCCCCAGCATCCCGCGCATGCTGCACGCCCAGGGGCGGGCCGTGCACCAGTGCAGTGGTGGCTGGGTGCCCGTGTTTGTGGATCAGGAGCAGAGCATCTCTCTCATGTCTGTGGGCTTCTTGCTGGAGAAGCCTGATGAGGCTGTAGTCTGGCGAGGCCCCAAGAAGAACGGTAATGACCCTGTTTGGGGGCCAGAGCTAGTGGCCTGCCTGAGGGGGTGGGGTTGGGGGGCCAGAGCTAGTGGCCTGCCTGGGGGGGTGGGGTTGGGGGGCCAGAGCTAGTGGCCTGCCTGGGGGGGGCTCCCGCAGGTGGGGGCCAGCAAGCACAGGAGACAGTTGCTCCTGGGTGTGAAGAGCTCCGGGGTTCCCTGCAGGGCTTCTTCCTGGGACTTGGGCAACAAGCCCTGCTACAAATGCCAAGGCTCCCTTCTGGAGCTGCCAGTCCCCACAGGTTGGGGATGCTGAGTTTGAAAGCACTGGGGAGCAGGGGGTGCTGGGGGGAAGGACGGATGCTCCTGCATGAGACGAAGCTCCCGCTTGACCAGCCCAGCCCCCTGCTCATGAGCAATGGGCATCTTGGGCCTTTGCAGCCCTGATAAAGCAGTTTGTGTCTGATGTGGCCTGGGGGGAGCTGGACTACCTGGTTGTGGACACCCCGCCGGGGACCTCTGATGAGCACATGGCTGCAGTGGAGGCCCTGCGCCCCTGCAGGCCGCTGGGGGCCCTGCTGGTCACCACGCCTCAGGTAGGCCCCTTACACCTGTGGCCTGCTTGTTGGGCTGTCCCCACCGTCCTCCCCGCCTGTTACTCCTTTCTTGGCTAAGCGCACAGCGGCCCAGCCTGTCTGGACTCTCCCTGTCTAGGCCGTGTCTGTGGGGGACGTGAGGCGGGAGCTGACCTTCTGCAGGAAGACGGGGCTGCAGGTGCTAGGGGTCGTGGAGAACATGAGCGGCTTTGCCTGCCCGCACTGTGCTGTGAGTCCCGGGTGGGCGTGACGTGGGGTGGGCAGGTAGGGGCACCAGGCTGGAGGTTATGGAGGGGCAGGGCTCTGAGGAGCCGGGTGACCCCAGCAGGGCAGGGTAGTAACTGCACAGTGCCAGAGGATACTGGCACCACGTGGAGGGCAAGTCTGCAAGCTTGCCTTTCACGGCCCATCTCCTAGGAGTGCACCAACGTCTTCTCCAGGGGCGGCGGGGAGGAGCTGGCCCTGCTCACCGGAGTCCCTTTCTTAGGTAAACATGGAGCCAGGCTGGCCAGGGTCCCAGCTCCCCACTCCTAGTCCCTGGACTAGACAGGTGTGAGTTCCGGGAAGGGAGGGGCCCGCGGGTGCCTGGCCGCTCACTGTGTCCCTGATGGCGGATACCGAGGGTCCCGGGTGACCATGAGAGGCAGGACTCAGCCCGGACGCAGCAGCCCGGGCTCTTGGCAGCACGCGGTGCCCAGATGCCGCCCCTCTGTCTCGCAGGCTCTGTGCCCCTGGACCCTGAACTCACCAGGAGTCTGGAGGAGGGCCGGGACTTCATCCAGGAATTCCCCAAGAGTCCTGCATTTTCTGCACTTATCTCCATAACCCAGAAAATTCTGGATAGGACGTCCACTCTGCTCTCCTGACATGACCCCATGGCCACCCCCGGTACATCTGAGTGCTGGGCTTGCAGCTTCCAAAAACCTACGGGACAGAGTCCTCAGTGTGGCTCCCGGGACCTGCAGAGGCTGGTCCGAAGCCTCCCCGGCCTGCCCAGCTGGCAGGAGCTCCGTTCTGATGGCCTGCGGCTAAGGACAGCTTGAGTCCGGGTACCTTAAGATGATTCCAGGCTCGCCAGCAGCCCCTGTGAGCCTTGCCCTGTGAGCCATGGCCAAGACAAGACAGGTTGCTCCTGAAAGCCAGTGTCCCCGCTGTCCACAAGTTACAAGACCCTGGGGCAAATGTGGAGGGCTCTGCTGGTGGAGCAGAGTGTGGTAAGCAGTCCAGACTGTTGTAACCACCCAGGACCTGCCATTAAAGCTATCACACCGTGGCAGTGGCAGTGGCATCCCCAGACCAGTGTCCTGCGTACCGTGGCTTTTGCTTCCTGCTGCCCTGGGGCTGCACCAGACTCTGGTGTTCAGGTCCCTGAGGCTCCGGGCAGCTGCCGTGGTCTCAGCGCATTGGTGCGGTTCTGTGCGTCAGACACTTCAGTGTCTGTCCCTCATGCCACACGGGAGGCCTGAAGCACAGCCAGCCCACAGGGCACCTCGGAGCGCGGCAGCAGGTCCCAGGCCTTCCCCAGACCTGCCTGCGTCGGGCTGGGAAGCTGGCGGCTCCGTGGTAGGGTGCTTGTTTCGCATGCATGAGGCCCTGGGTTCAATTCCTCAGCACCACATAAGCAGAAAAAAACCGGAAGTAGCGCTGTGGTTCAAGTGGTAGAGCGCTAACCTTGAGCTGAAGAGCTGAGGGACAGAGTTCAGGCCCCACAACCAGGCCCCCCAAAAAAAACACCTGCCTGCAGCCACATGCCACCCTCTCCCGTCCCTTGAGGGACAGCTGGCGGGTCTCTGGACAGGCCTTGTGGCCTGTGGCTCTTCCAGCGCCTGTGCCGGCTGGCCGGCCGCATGGGCCCCGGTTGTGCTCGGTTGTGCTCCGTGGAAGCCGGCCCCTCCCCCACCATCATGGCTGTGCCCTCGAGCCCCGGCCAGACCTGTGAGGACACTGCCCTTCCCAGCACTGGCTCTGAAGAGGGCGCGAAGCTGGGGTTTCGGGTGAGTGCCAGCGGTGCGGGCGGGGAAGGGGGTGTGGCAGCACAAGGACCTCACGGTGTTGGGGCGCAGGGTGTGCCAGGACGGGGGAGCACTCCCGGGACCATCGAGGCTCAGGCTCCACGCTGAGGCAGAGCCAAGACGAGAAGGGGGATGGACGGGGCAGGTGACCCCTCAGTGTGGCTGGCCGTCACATGCCGTGGTTCTTATACACTTTAATGTTTCCCCGCGGAGCCCCCACCCTCCGGCCACGCTCTGGGCACCCCTGTGCCCACGCCCAGTGTCCCCTGCCCACTGCTGAGCCCAGCTGCCACGCTGCCAGGACCGTCTGTCCCCTGTGAGTGAAGAGCTCGTCCCTCTGAGGACGGGTCGGGCCGTGCAGGGAGCCCGGTCAGCAGTGTGCGAAGTGCTCCTGGGGGACGTCCCGCAGGTCCAGGCCCGCCACGCCCGTGGGGCGGGCGCAGGTGATGTTGTTGTGTGTATAGGCGGGCTGGCAGTCGTCCCCCTCGCACCTGGCCTGCACGGAGCGGGGCACCACGCCCGGCTTGCTCAGGGCGAAGTCTCGCAGCGCCCTGAGGGGGCAGCCGCAGTCCCAGGGGTTACCCTCCAGCCACAGGCGCTCCAGGGCGCGCGGCTGCGGCACGAACGTGTGCAGGGAGTTGTTCCTCAGGCTGAGGTAGCTCAGGCGCCCCAGCGGGGAGAGGGCGCCCTCGGCCAGGGCCTCCAGGCGGTTGTGCGAGAGATCCAGCCAGAAGGCCCGCTGCAGGGGGCTCAGGAGGCCCGGGGCCAGCGAGGCCAGCCGGTTGTGGGAGAGCAGCAGGTACTCCAGCTGGCCGAGGCCCTGGAAGAGGCGAGGGGGCAGGTGCGTGAGCTGGTTGGACGTGAGGTCCAGCTCCAGGAGCTCTGGCAGCGCGGCCAGGCTCTGCTCGTGGATGCTGGAGATGCCGTTGTCCCTGAGGAAGAGCCGGCGCAGCCCGCCCAGGCCTGCGAAGGTGTGCTGGCGGACGCGGCCCAGGCAGCTGCTCTCCAGGTGCAGGCTGTGCAGCCGGCCCAGGCCCCGGAACACCTGCTCCGGGAGGCCACGCAGACAGTTGCCCGAGAGGTTCATGACGGCCACGTTGACGAGGCCCAGGAACGCGCCCACCTTCACCTCCTGGATCTGGTTGTCGTTGAGCGCCAGCACCTCCAGCTGCCCCAGGCCCTCGAACGTCTTCTCCGCCAGGTGGCGGATGCGGTTGTGGCCGAGCCGCAGCTCCTCCAGGAAGTGCAGGTCCTGGAAGGTGCGGGGACGGAGGCTGCCGATGGCGTTGTGCGCCAGGCGCAGGACGTGCAGGCCCAGCAGGCCCGGGAAGGTGTCCTCCAGCGGGCCGGCCAGGCGGTTGTGGGAGAGGTCCAGCCAGCGCAGGGCCTTCAGGCCCAGGAAGGCCCCGGGGGCCACGGCGGCGATGAGGTTGCGGTCCAGGTAGAGCTTCTGGAGCCGGGGGAGCTGCACGAAGACGTTGGCCTTGACGCTGCGCAGCGCGTTCCTGCTCAGGTCCAGCTCGCGCAGCTCGGCCAGGCCGCAGAAGAGCGCCGGCTGCAGGTAGGCCAGCCTGTTACCCGCCAGCACCAGCTCGTGCAGGTTGCCCAGGCCCTGGAACACGGCGTCGGGCAGCACCACCAGGCTGTTCCAGCCCAGGTGCAGGTCCCAGAGCTGAGCCAGGCCCTGGAAGAGGCCCTCGTCCAGCCGGGCCAGGAGGTTGTTGCCGAGGCTGAGGGAGGCCAGGCTGGGCGTGTGTGCGAACACCCCGGCGGCCAGGGTCCGCAGCCGGTTCCTCTCCAGGTGCAGGTGGTACAGGCTGCGCAGGCCCAGCAGCGCCTGCGGCTCCAGGCGGCTCAGCTGGCTGCCCTGCAGGTTGAGGAAGTCCAGGCCGGACAGGTTCTGGAAGGCCGCGGGGGGGATGGAGGAGAGGTTGTTGCCGTCCAGCCACAGGGCCTTGGCGTTCTCCGGGATGCCGTCGGGCAGCCGGGTGAGGTTCCTGGCGCTGCAGAAGACGCTGAGCTCGCCCGTGTAGTCGTCCAGGCCGCAGGCGCAGGCGGCCGGGCACCGCGGGCCCTCCGGGTCCTCCGGGGCGCCCGGCTCTGCCCCGTCCAGGCCACAGGGACCCAGTGCCGCCCAGGAGAGCAGCAGTGCCAGGAGGGCCTCCAGTCCTGTGGGGAGAGGCTCGGTGAGGGGTGCCGTGGCATTCGGGGTGCTCGCAGGACCCTCCCCGGGAAGCCGAGCCCTGGCGCCCTAATTAGGTTGCAGGCGGTGGCCGAGAACGCCGGGCCTGTGAGGCTCCGGGGCTGAGTGTCGCCAGCCTTGCCAGGCTGCCACAGCAGCCTGGGAAACCGAGGGACCAAGCCGCCAGCCAAGATCTAGTCATTTCTAGAACATTCTAGCATTGACCCAGCATTGCTTATGGCAGCCAGACAGTGAGCCAGATACCCCGTCCCTTAGGCTGTAGGTTACTGGGAAGTGGGACACAGGCCTCCCTCAGCAGGCATCGGCCCAGCGACCCAGCCAGCAGCACCCTACACCTGTGCTGGGTGCGGTGCAGCCAGACGCCAGCCGCCATGCTTCACTGGCGACTCAGCTAGCAGTGGTCTCGAGCCTGACACGGTGGGCTTGTCCCCGGTGCCCAGTGCAGCCCGCAGTGCCCCCTTGCAGTGTGGTCCTGAGGAACATCTAAGTCCTGCCCAGTGCCCGCCACCCACGGCCACCCAGCGCCCTCACCTCTCCGCAGCGCCATCTCCCGTGCAGCGCGGACCGCAGCCAGCCGTGGGTGCTGGCGTCTGCAGGCCAGTGGCTCCTGCCCTCTGCATTCCCCCGCGGGCCAGCCCCTTAACCCCTTCCTGCTGGGTGGCCACAAGTCCCTTCGGTGGTGATTGTGCAGGGAAGGTGGGAGGGCCCAGGCTGGGCGGGGCGCAGCTCGGGGCGCTCAGCCCTCCCCAGCACCCGGGCAGACAGGCTGGGGTGGGAGGTGGGGGCAGGGGTCCCCTGCAGTGTCTGGTGAGGGGGTCCTAGTGGCCACAGGCAGCCTGGGGGTGGGGAGATCTCCCCACCGAACCCCACATGTCAAAAAGCAGTGTCGGGCTAACTGGCCCTGCGTTGCCAATGCCGCCCACCTGTCTGCCCGCTGCCACGCTGATTCCCACTGCCCCTCCCATCTGCCAGTGACCCCGTACCCCCAAAGCCCTGCCCATCTGCCTGGCAGGCTGCCCAAGCTGGGGTTCCCAGCAGCCTGCCTGGGCCCCGGGGCCGCGAGGTCGCCGCCGGCTGCTGCTCCCCCAGCCTCTTCTAGGAACACCTGGCAGCGCCTCTGCACCTCGTATTTGCCTTTCCTGGGACTGGCCCAGGAGAGGCGGGAAGGCCGCGGGTCTGTGCCCCGCAGCTGGCCCCCCACGGTGGCGCAGGCCTGGCACTGGCCGGAGGGCCGGAAAAGGGGGCCCTGGCGCCCCTCGGCCTTCGCCGAACCACACCTCTGCCTGCTGCAGGGCTGAGTGGGTGCAGTGTGGGCCTCGCCCATCGCCCTGGAGCCTTCTCTGGCCCTGCCCTTTGGTCCTGGCCGGGTCTGTGGGGACGTGCGCAGGCCGGCATCGGAGGGACACAGGGAAGAATCGTGTCTGAAGACGGGCAGTCTCTAGGGTCCGGTGGACTCGAGCCCAATGCAGGGGAGGCAGAGGAGGAGGTAGGTCGGGGGATATTTTCCAGGTCACTCCTCAGCCTCTTCTGAGAAATTATAGATCTGAAGGGAGAAAGTCCATGCCCGGAGCCCACAGAGCAGTTTACACAGCGGAAAGTGCCGCCTCAGCAGGCTGCGGGCCAGCAGCCCGGCCTCTTCTTGGAAGGGGGGGGGGCAGCTCTGCCGCTCACCTGGCAGGAGGGCAGGGCTGGCCCAAAGCTTGCCCAGCGCCCTCCCGCCCCTCGGTTCCCCGGCAGTGCCTCCCTGCTGGGCTAGGTTGGCCTGCACTGGGCTGGGCCGCAGTCTGGGCACCCACAACAGAGGGTGCACCAGCCCAGATCCGGCCTTCATCCTCACCCCACCTGTGGCTGGGCGCGTGGCTCTTCCCACAGCCTTTTCCATCCGTGCCACCGTGGGCCGGGACCGCGGTGTGGCCTGTGTGTGCACCCACACTCCTGCGTTACGGCTGTGTTTTGCCTGTTGGGGCCTCCTTGTTTCTTGTTCCATCTCTGGGGACGCAGCCCGTCACAGGCTTGTTGTGTACGGATCTGATTTCCTTTTTTTTGGGTCAGTCATGGGGCCTGAACTCTGGGCCTTGAGCTCTTCAGCTCAAGGCAAGCACTCTACCACTTGAGCCACAGCGCCACTTCCGGCTTTTTCTGCTTATGTGGCGCTAAGGAATCAAACCGAGGGCCCCATGCATACGAGGCAAACGCTCTACCACTGAGCCACCTTCCTAGCCTCTGATTCCTCCTTTTAAAGGGCTGGGTACTGTGGCTCGTACCTGAAGTCCCTAGTGAAGAGCAGGAGGTATGAGACCAGCCTGGGCAACAGTAAGAATGCACCCCCAGAGAACACGGTGGCTGTAACGGGAGCCATGAGAGCACAGCGAGGGGCCCCGCACCCCAGGCAGAAAGCAGAGGCTGACGGAGGGGTGGGCCTCGAGCTGCAGTGGGCTCTGTGCAGACGTGTGTGCCAGTACCCAGCCTTGAACTCAGGGCTTTGCGTGCACTCGGCTTTTTTTCTCATAGCTGGTCAGGGCCAGCTGCTTGGTTCGTAGGGTGGTCATGGGTTCTGGACCACGGTCCTCACATGCTAGCTACGGGGCTAGGATATACGAGCACGAGCCTCCAGCACCCTGTTTACTGGCTCTTTTAAGACTTTTGCTAAACCTCTACCAAGGCAGCTGTGCTGCTTCGCTCCTGGCCTGTGTGTCTGTCCGGGCTGGGGTGGGTTTGTGTGAGGGGGCAGAGGCTGGCTTACCCGAGGGTCCACACAGCCCTCCTGTGGTGCGCAAGCCAGGGTCCCAGCAGATGCTGGGCCTGGCGCAAGGCTCTTTCACACTGCGTCCAGAGCAAAGCTTCCCCTCGGGGTGGCCTCGTCCTGGAGGGGCCACCGCAGCCGTGACTGTCCCAGCCACGGCCCGTGCGTCTCTGCCCGCTGGCACACCTGCCAGTGTGCACATGGGCCTGGAGGGAACGCGAGGCCCCTTTGTGCCTAGGGCCAATTCTCCCAATTGGAATTGCTGTTTGCCACTGTTACTGCTGGGTTGTAAACCTCTTCTACGCCGAGTTCAAGCCCCACAACCGACCAAAAAAGCCCTCTTCTACAGTGGCTCTCATTCTAATGTGAACATGGCCCTGCTCCTCCACGCACGCACACGCGCACGGCGGGGTTTCTACTTTGTAGCATGGTGCTTATCTATTCTGAGGGGCAGACATCTGTCATTGCTGAAGCAGTGTGTACAAGTCTGCCAACTTCGTCCATATTCTTTTTGTTGTTGTTGTTGGTTGTGGGGCCTGAACTCGGCCTGGGCGCTGTCCCTCAGCTCTTCAGCTCAAGGCTAGCGCTCTACCACTTGAGCCACAGCGCCACTTCCGGCTTTTTCTGCTTATGTGGTGCTGAGGGATTGAACCCAGGGCCTCATGCATGCAAGGCAAGCGCTCTACCACTGAGCCACCTTCCCAGCCCTGTCCATATTCTTATAAGTGACTTAGGAAGCTGTAATGCACTGGAGACTGTGTTACAGATGACTAGGTGTAGGGTTTGCAGATGCTTTCCCAAGTCCGTGGCTTGCTTGTTTGGGGTTTTGTCTGGCAGTGCCTTCTTCGGGGGGAGGCTGGTGCTCTACCACTCGAGCCAGCCCCCAGCCCTAAATAGTGTCTTTGAAAGTGACTGTCTCTCAGGAGTGAAGCCAGTGTACGGCTTTCTCCTGTGAGGCCTGTGATTCGGGTGACATGTGTGAGCCCAGGGGAGGGGGTGCCCTGGGCAGACAGATGGTGTGGGGGAGCTCACCCACCCCGGGGAGACGACGCAGTCTGGAAGCGGAGGTTATGGGAATAAATACTTTAAATTTTTTCTCTGATAAATACGCATTAGAGTGCGTGTGATCACACACGCTCCGGCTCTGAAGTTAATTTCAATTTAAAATGAATACTGGGTTTCGGGGGATCGGCGGGACAGTGGGTGCCCCGCCCCCGCCGGGCGGCCCTCAGTCCCGGGGCACCTTGAACTGGTCCTTCTCCCTGCGGAGGGCCTGCATGGTGGTCACGGGGTCCGTCTCCCCCACGTGCTGCTGCACCGTCTTCTCCCTGCCGGCGTGGGAGAGGGACGGCTCGGCTCTACACACAGGCTCGCTCGCACCCTGCGGGCGCCCGGGAAGGAGGGAGCCCGGCCAGGCGGCCAAGCCGGACGCTGGCCGCGGGGAGGAGCGTGAGCTGCCGGCAGCCCGGGAGCAGCGGCCCGAGCGTGGGGTGCGGCCCTCCCCAGGGCCCCGCACACCTGACTCTCATGAAGGGGTTGTAGGTGAACTCCTCCGCGAGGGTGGACGGCACGGTGGGCTCCCCGATTGCATACTTCTCCTGCAGGGGAGGACAGCGTCACCCGGCCGCGCCCGCCCATCCTAACTGGGGGCTGTGTGGAGGGCGGGACGGCCGGGGACCCAGCATTGAGACCGCACAGCCACGCACACCGGCGGGGTGGAGGGAGCCGCCCAGATGCTGGCTCGGAGCAAGGAAAGTGGTCACACGGGGGACTGTGCGTGTGCGTGTGCGTGTGCGCAATGCCGCACGGGCCCCTCTGACACACCGCACCCTGTCGGGGGCAGGGCCAGAGCCTGCAGCTGTGTTAGAAACGTGGAGTCGGAACAGGCAGGCGCCGCGCCTGGCCCCACTCACCTTGGCCCAGGCCAGCTTCTCCTGGACGGCCGCGTTGCTGGGCTCCACGTGGCGCGCGAACTTGAGGTTGTTGATGGTGTACTCGTGGCCACAGTAGACTTTCTAAGGAAAACGGGCAGAGCGCTCTCCTCCCCGCCGGGCCCCAGCGGATGCGTGGCTCATGGACACCAGCGGCCACCCTGGGCTGGCCACCCGCACACGCCAAGTGCCAAGGAAGGGCTTCCAGGGCTGGAGTCCAGGAATGGAGTCCACCAGACTCCATTCCCCAGCAGCGGCCCGGGGCGGGGAGGCGGCGGGGCTGGGCGGAGGGGGGCGGGCGGAGGCGGGGCCTGGTGGAGGGGGCGGGGCCGGGCGGAAGCGAGGCTGGGCGGAGACGGGGCCGGGTGGAGGGGGCGTGGCCAGGAGGGGGCGGGGCCTGGCGGAGGGGCGGGGCCGGGCGGAGGCGGGGCCTACCGTGTCTGGAGGCAGCCGGCCCAGGACTTCCAGCAGGGCCTTACACATCTCGTCGGCCGTCCCTTCGTAGAACTTCCCGCAGCCAGCCACAAACAGGGTGTCGCCTGGAGCACGGGTGGCCGTGAGGCAGGGGCGCCAGCCCGCAAGGCCTCGGAGGAGCCCCACTGGCCTCCTGCCCCTGGGGTGCAGCTGCAGCTCACCCGCGCCCCAGCCTGTGCTGCCCCCTCCCTGCCTGTTACCCGGATGCCGTGGCCTCCCCACCCCGCCCTCCCAGCCCCCCCCTTGTGCCCCAGACTCAAGTGGCAGCAAGGCCACCGAAGTGGCTCAGGCGCGCCCACTCCACGGCCCCTGGGCCCCACGCATCCTCACTGCCAGAGCACATCTCCAGGACTTCGCTGCCTGGCCCAGCCTTGAACCTCAGATCTCACCAGAGACCCTCGCCTCTCAGTCACCAACAAAAAGCCAGACGTGGAGACGTGGCTCACATGGTAGATACCAGCCATGAGTGAAAAGGCCAGGGGAGAACCTGCAAGGCCCTAAGTTCGAGCCCCAGTACTTGCTCTAAAATAGTAATGGCATAGTGGGGTGCCTGCTCCCGTGCCCTGCCCTGCAGGCCTGGCCACCTCTCCCGCACCGCTGGTCTCCTCTGCCCGGCCTCCCACAGGCACCCCATCTCGGAGTCCGCAGGCGTTACCCCCTCTGCAGCTGCCAAAGACACCCGGCCCCCCACCCCCCGCCGCAGCCTCCCTAAGCAAGCGCCCCCCGCCTCTCAGCACCCGAGCGGCACGGCTCGTCACTGGGGGCTTCACGCAGCCCCGACACCCCTCACGGAGCCGGCCCCGAGCCGGGAGCTGCCGCAGCCGCGCCTCGTCACCCAGGGCCACACAGGTGACCAGCGCCAGCCATGTGGGACACCCTGAGGCGCCAGGGCGGGCCAGAGGCCTGGCCCAGCCAGAGTTGAAGAAGTGGGAACTCCTAGGTGGAGATGTTCAAAATAAATACAGGAGCACGCACTGGCGCTCACGCCTGTGGGCCTAGCTCCTTAGCAGGCTGAGATCCCAGAATCACAGTTTAAAGCCCATCAGGAAAAAAGAAAGTCTGGGGTGCGCTGATCTCCAGTTGTCTACCAAAGAAAGCACAAGTGGAAGTCTGGCTCAAGTGGTAGAGCGCCAGCTTGAGGAGAAACACTAAGCAAGCACCCCGGGACGGGCAAGCGGGGCGCTCACTCACCAGTGAACACCGCGGGGGGCCCCGCCGCCCCCGGCTTGCTCACGAAGTAACAGATGTGCCCCGAGGTGTGACACGGCGTGGCCAGGCATTTGACGTGGAGAGACCCCACCTGGGACAAACAGGTGTGAGTGCCCGGCGGGCCACGGTGCCCGCCCTGCCGGCTCCGCGCCAGCCCACCACACCCCACCCAGCCCTGGGCACCCCAGGCCCCGCCCCCGCCCCAGACAGGGCCGCCCCAGGCCACTCTGCTTGCTTTCAGCCAAAGCTCAGGAGCTCGTGTTTTCTCCTTCAAAATTGGGCCAAATGAGGCATCTTGCCAGAAAATGATGGCCAGCACCCAGCAGCTCTTACCAGAATTCACCCCACGTTCTCACACCTTCCACCTCGCAGGCAGCCACCCCGCCCCCTCCCCTGGGCTGTGTGCTGCAAAGGCAGCCCCCACTGCACCCCAAGACATCTGCCCCATCCCCGGCGCCCACCCCTCGGAGTCGTCATGTTAGTCGGCTTTCTTGGGCCTCTCCCCAGAGGATTGTTGGGGTTACCCTGAGAACCCCCTCCCTTGAGTAGAAGCTGGGGGGCTGTGGTTCTCCGGGCCCCGTTCCAGGCAGGGCCGGCGGGGCGCCCTGCAGCCCTCACCTGCAGCGTGGTCAGGTGTGTGACTTTGTGCGTCAGAGCTCCGATCCGGTCGTCGCCGCCATACACCTTCAACCCGGGCTCCAGCTTCACCAGCTTCTCGTTCCCGCCAGCATGGTCCCTGCAAGTCAGATGGGTAAAGGGGCCGACCGCTGCGTTCATCCTCCGGTACTAGCGGGGTTTCTGCTGTGTCCTTCAGCCCCACGCCTGGTGCCACAGCCAGGTACCCATGCCCGCCATGCCCACCGCGCCCGCCGCTGCTCTGTCTCCACTCAGCCCAGGCAGGCTTTTTTTTTTCAGTCCTGGGGCTTGAACTCAGAGCCTGGGCACTGTCCCTGAGCTTTTGCTCGAAGCCAGCACTCTACCACTTGAGCCATAGCGCCATTTTTGGCTTTTTCTGTGTATGTGGTGCTGAGAAATTGAACCCAGGGCTTCATGCACGCTAGGCAAGCACTTGACCACTGAGCCGCCTTCCCAGCCCCCAGGCTGGCTTTGAACTGTGGCAGGGCCGGGGAAGTTCCAGGTGGGTGGGGGCCCTCCCTCACTACCTCCGGCGGCCACTGCTCTGCTCCAGGCTGCGGCACCCGTCCTGGGAGCCCCACCAGGGCTCCAGGTTCCCCTAGGGACCCTGTGATCTGAGCCCCAGGGAAGGGTCGGGAGAGGCCTGGAGTGCAGCAAAGGCCTGTCCCAGCAAGAGATGACACAAGACAGAGGAATCATACGAAATGCTGACACTGATAAAGAACCCTGGAGCCTGCCCTGGTTTGTGACATAAACATGACAGGGTGCTGGAGAACCCGTGTGCGCGCACGCGGCCGTGTCGGCAGGAGCCTCAGCGGCCTCTGCGGGTGTGGCAGTGCCCACCGGTGCCCAGCGCTGAGCAGGCATCGGGGCAGGCGGGACCTGCGGCCACAACGGGCAGCCTCTAAGCCCCAACCCAGACCAAGCAGGGGATACCAGCCTCCCGCCCCGGTGCGGCTGTGGCTCGGAGTCTGGGCCTGGTACCCAAGTGGCTTTGCTAATGACAGCTGCGGCTCCAGGAGCTTCTGAGCAGAGATGCCTGGGGAGAATGGGGGGGCTGGGGGCCTCGTGTGGCCTAAAATGAAGAGGCAAACAGGTATTTCTACAGCACAAGAACTTCAGACGCGTCAAAAATCCAAAAAGAATCCTTTTGGGGCTGGGAAGGTGGCTCAGTGGTAGAGTGCTTGCCTAGCAGTAATGCAGCCCTGGGTTCCATTGCTCAGTACCACACACACAGAAACAGCCGGAAGTGGTGCTGTGGCTCAACTGAGTGCTCGCCTTGAGCACAGGAAGCTCAGGGACAGCGCCCGGGCCCTGAGTTCAAGCCCCAGGATTGGCAAAAAAAAAAAGAAAGCCCCTGAGCACTGTCCCTGGGCTTTTTGCTCAGGGCTAGAGGTCTGCCACAGTTCTGCTTCTGGCCTTTCAGTAGTTAACTGGAGAACAAAAATTAAAAATATCTCTTGAAACATAGCTACTTTGAAAAAAACTCATGGCGGCCGTTGTTCTGTTCATCAGCCCAAGATCTAGACAAAAGTCTCCAGGTCCTCTTGTGGCCAGAGAGGCGGCCCTGCCCTCTGCCACCAGCCCCCCCCGCGGGCAGTGCCAGGCACGGTGCCCCAGTGGCCCCAGGCAGGAGGACAGATTCCTGTGGGGGAGGGGAGGGCTGGCCTGTGTCCAGGGCACCGGCCCGGCCCGCACTTACCAGTGGTGGTGGGTAGTGAGCACTGTGGTCAGCTTCACCCCGTGCTTCCTCACCGTTTCTACAACCTGCAACCACATGGCGCGACAGGTGCGGTCATACCCCTCTCCCCCGCCAGAGGCCAGTGTCCAGCCCGGGTCCTGCCTCAGCGGGGGCAGCCCTCAGCTCCCCTCAGACCTCTCCAAGCCATTCTGGCTCCAAGGTTTGTCTGTCTGTCTGTCTCTCCCTCCCCCTCTCCCCACTCTCTCTCTTACACACGCATACACGCACACAGGCAGTGCTGAGAGACGAAAGCACTGGAGAGCCAGGCTCCACGGCCTCCACACTGCAAGGCTAACATGGCGCGTGCGCGGTGCCGCCTTGGGAGCCTGGTGGCCCCGCCCTCCCTACACTTCTCGGGGTGCTAGATGCTGAGTTCTTCCCAAGTCAAAAGGACTGATCCCCCCGGGCTTCTGCCAAGCTGTGGGGTCACGGTGCTGCGTCCCAGGGATGAGGGTGGGTAGGGTGTTGGGGCTCAGGCGCCATGCAGAGAGCCACGTACCTTCTGGGGCTGGACGGGGTCCACAATGGCAGCCTCCCGCGTGGCCTCGTCGATGAGCAGGTACATGTAGTTGTCGGTCAGGGCGGGCAGCAGCTCCACCTTCATGGCGCCCTGCTCCACAGTCAGACTCTTCCTCAAATCCGAGTGATAGCAGAAGACTCCCAGCAGGGCCGGGCCTGAGGGCGCGGGGTGCAGCCTCAGGTCGCAGACCTCAGACCAGCTCCCCGTGCACACTGAGGCTCGGCGCTCCGGTTTTCCTAATTTCCTCCGACAGAAGAACCACATCCATGAGAACAGTGCCGCAAACGACTCAAGCCGGCACCGTCTCAGAGGTGGGTTCTCGTCTCCCTGAGCTGGAGGCAGAGCCGGGGGCTTTGCGTGAGTCGGTGTGTGTTTCAGCAGAGCCACGCTCCCAGCTCAGAATGAGGATGCTTTCCTCTCAAGGCTCTGGAGGACAGACCTGCTGGCCGGGGGTGGGGGCCGGCCTGCCTGCCCCGCGGTGCGGCGGGTAGTGGGCAGTCTCTGTGCCCGGCCTGTTTCACAACGCCTCTGACAAAACGGCATTTGCTACTGAATGACAGACATCCGAGAGTGGATACCGCGCACCTCGCAGCCCCTGCAGGCTGCGCAGGCCAGCGGTGAGCCCCAGGCCTCCCCAGAGCCCACCGGCGGTGAGCACCAGTGCACAGACACCAGGGTACTCAGAGCCACGAGATGATTCCATCTAAAATGCTTGAGGCCCCAACAGCACAGGTCAGTGTTCCTGTCCAAGGGGTAGACGACCTCGCAGGGGACAGGAGAAATGCCTCGGGCCCACCTTCATCCGCCGTAGCCAGCAAAACCCTGCACTGCACGGGTGCAGACTGCAGGGGCAGCTCGAACCCAGGGCCTGGAAGCAGGCTACACAAACCTTACCACCTGAGTTCCCAGGTCTCTTTTTCAACACATCTCCTGTCCTGGGTTTTCCAGATCCTTCTAATGCTCAACAAAACCTCTTGGTGGAATGGAGTTTCTGCCATACTCTGCATCCCCTCTGGCCCCCCGCACCCGCGGGTGATGAAGGACCTGGGGGGGGGGCCCTTCATGAAGTGTCCTTGGACGCCAGGCACCCCTGGGAGGACCGAGGCTGGAGACCAGACAACGTAAATAACGTCCACGAGACCCCATCGCAACCGGCCGCCGGGCTCACAGGTGCACACCGAGGCATAAACGGGGCGCTTCCGGGGCCCAGCACCGGCTCCAGCCCGCGGAGCCCCCGCCTGGCGCCCCTGAAGCCCAAGTTCGAGTCCCAGCACCGACTTAACGTGTATTTCCTAGAAACGCCGCTTCCTCGCCGCGGTGACCCCTCCGGTGACCGCCCCCCGTGCCCGGGAGGGCGGAGGGCCCCGAGGAGGGGACTCGCCCGCTGCCCCGTCCGCGCAGCCCGGGGCG